CCCTCGGGCTGCCGGCTGTGTTACACTGGGAACACCAGCTCTGCCACGCCAAGGTGTGTGCGCAAGGGCACCTGCCATAAATTTTGACCCATTATGAGATTTAACTGATTTTCAAAGGCATCTTGTAGCGGCAGGAGCACGTGTGCATGAGCAGCGACCAGTCCTGGCTAAGCCAGCCTGGCTCCCAGCAGAGATAAGCAATGCCAGTGGGCCACGGTGCCAGGCACTCCTGGGCCAGCCAGCTCCCTGGAGCATCCCCCTCTCACCCCTGCCATGACAGGGCGTGTGGAGCTCCTCTCTGGACCCCGCCGGGCTTGTTAAATGGGATCCAGGCACCCTTGCATCCAGATGGCAGCCTCCAAGGAGTGTGAGAAAGAGGCAAGCAGGCTCAACTACATGATCGGGTACAAGCGATATGGGGTGCTCCATGTGTGTGGCTCTTGGCTATTTTATGAGACAGGTGGACGCAGATTGTCCCTGCAGTGCTAGAGTCAATGGAGCAGGAGACTGAGCTGCTTGCACACGTGGCCCGTGGCACAGGTAGTTCTTGTTTTGTGTTTTATTCTTCATGCTACTTATTCTCAGGCCATCTAATCAGGAAAACCATTTCTTTCTAAGCATGCAGTGATTTTAAAAACACTGATAAACTTTGTCTTCCATTTTGTAAAATAGTAGATATAATTTTGATTAATAATGATATGAAAGTGTATTGTTATTTTCCAACTATAGCATCTTTAGGCCAAAATTAAAGTTTGGATTTATCTTGAGCAGTGGCTACATTATTTGGTTTCCTAAGTGTAGTGGTAGGCTTGTTTCCCTGTCATGTTTGAAAGTAAATGGTGTTTTTATTGTCCCTCTGCTCAGTACTAGAAGAGTTGAAGTCAACTTTCTGTTAAAACAGAAATCAAACCGGTCATTTTCGTAGTCGCTTATCTTTGTATAATACCCAATAGCTCTTTGTCAGAAGTAGTCAAAAAATACTTATTTTTCTGGGTTCTCCAGAATATTCCCAGACAGTTCCTTTGGGGTCTGTCCTTGGGATAGATCCCAGAGGTGTCCCTATGCTGTACACCCTGCTGAAGATGCGCTGAGAGGATAATTTGCTCCTTGCCAACAAAAAGAGCTTAAGAACAACCAAGCTGCAGGTGTATCGCTGTGATCAGCTATGCACTTTATGGATAAAAACAAGGTATATGGGTCATAACTGCAGAGCAGAGAGTTGGACTGAGACTTTCAACAACCTCTGACTGTCATTCCTGACTTCAGCACAGACCAGCTCCCTGCAGCGCTGCTGGCCCTGTGACGTTTCACCGCTCGCATCGGTGCTGAGCCAGGCACAAGGCTGAGACCCACCAAAACAGCACGTACAGGTGAGCAGCTCCTACCCCGTGCACTGCCCTGTCCCCCAGTCAGGTTGCCAAACCTGTTTGCCATATGCATTTGCACAATATTCTCCACCTGCACACCCACAGCACCCTTCCCCCCAAAGCAAAGGCACTGGAGAATGGAGTTTAAACTGGCTGGCTGGTGCGGGGCTCGTTGGGCAAAGCTTCTGGCCTGTGTTACGATGGAGGCTGCACAAAATGGTCCTGCTGGTCCCTTCTGAACTGAACCCTCCCTCGTTGCTAGGAGTGGGGACAAGCGCTTTGCCTCGGCAGATGGGCCAGATGCCAGAGTGGGAGGGCTGGAACGCTCACCCACGGTACACCTGGCTCCTTTCAATGCAACACACATGGGCAGTCAGCACATACCTGGTCTGCTGCTGCCCTTCCTGCCCTTACATGGTCCCAGGGAGTCTTTCACTCCCTCCTGCAGCATCTCAGTGCCAGGTGAGCCCTGGGCACACATGACTGCGTCCCAGCTTATGCCCTCGCCTCCTGGGATGTGCAAGTGGGGGCTACAGCCTCTCCCTCTCAGCAGACTGGTCGCCCACGGCTCGAGGGAGAGCTTTTCACCAGGCTGAAGGGACGTTTCTGGGGCTGGTTTTGATTGCTGAGACAAAAGCAATCAGAGCTGACTGAGGGTGGCAGGGAGGTTTACACCGTGCCTCAGGGACGGGACCCGTTAAACTCAGCCTAACTGGGCAGGAGATGGGTGCCCAGCTGCACTGAGCAGAGGGCTTTGAGCCTTCCTCGGCACTGGTCATCAGGACTGAGGGAGCTTCACAGGCCTATAGATTTTAAATGCCTCCAGGGTTAACTGCACTGGAAAGTGAGTTTTCTCAATCACTCCTCAAGGCTTACCTGTCTTCGTTTTGCAGAAATCCCACTGAAATCTGCAAACATTCAGGACCTTGCTCAGCTGTTTGCAAGCAGAGGAGAAACTGACTGCAAAATCAGGTGTTTCTTTGACACTGTCCTGTTGTCCTCCAGTTCCCTGGAGCCCACCAGCGGCAAACAGGGGATGCAGCTCAGCTCCCATGAGACCCCCGGCCCAAGGAGAACTGCTTCTTCGACCTGCTGGCATGAAGCCCTCCCTCTCCACCGCTGTTTCACCTCCAGAGCTGCTCTCAGACCCAGCCTGGGCTATATGATCACTTTCTGTTAAAAAGAAATAAAGTGAAGGAAGGTGAACTATGGGTTACAGAAACGGATGTAGGTGCTTCTGACAAGACTCAAGCACCCCGCCCAATTCGGACATGCGCTGCAGGACAGCGCTTCTTAGCATGCCATAAGACGGAGCTTTTTGCCTCCTTTGAAGGCTCAGTGCTGCAGGGAACGCTGATCAAAGCTAAAGCAATTCTCTCCTTTGGTGCACTCCCGTTCTTTACTGTTTTGCAAAATGCCTGTGGCTGAGCAGTTAATGGAGGCATCTGCTGCACTGGCAATGTTCACCGACTTAATTAAAGACATCTAACAGTTCTGCAGCTGTATGCAAGAGACCATGGGTACTCGCAAGGCTGAAACTGAATACCCTCAGCACTGAAAGCAAGTTTCCCTGCTGTGCAGAAAGCATAGATCTGCAGCCAGACACTCACATGAAAGTAGAAGCAGGGCCCAAAGATTAAGCATGGACTAGAGCTTGCAATGTGTGTCGACAAGGCCTCAACATGCTGGAGAACTGTACAACCTCAGCTCACACTCAGATAGCTTAGAATGGTCAGATTTGTAACAAGTGAGCAGAGCCGGGGACATTCCTCACCAGTAGGGATGGTTTTACCTGGAAAACATTTTTAACATATTTTCTCACTGAGTGAAAATAGCTGGTTTAAAAAGACAGGTGGGAAAACTAATCCTGTACCAAGTGGTTATCAAGTTCTCCTCTGCGTGGGGCCGTGTTCTCTCCCTGTTAAATGAAGAAACATTTCACTCACGGGCATATTTCTGGTATCATTGCATATTTGAGCTGATAAGGGACTTTGCAAGGCTGTTATTTTAACAATTTACCAAAGAAGCTCACAGAACAGGCTGGTGCTTTCTAATTAGATTGCATGTCAGCAGACACCAAGGGCTTTGAATCAGGCTGCCGAGCACGGGCTGCTGCCCTGCGGGGCTGGGGAGCTGTGGTTGCCCTTCAGTGTGCTCTCGCCCTCCCAGGAGCAGAGCAGTCAAGAGGCAGGGACTCCCACACACTCCTGCCAGCTGTGGGAAGCCTCGCGCCTGCCCTCTCGGATCTGCAAATGCAACCTCTCAGTGCCAGCAATGTCACTGATGGCTGGCTGGGATGTAAAGCAGACAGATCAATGCTGTGCTGCTTTGGTCGATACAAATTTAAAAATGAAATTCTGTCAGGAGAGACACAACTAGTGTGAACAGCCTCTGTTGGAATGGGCACATCAAATGCACCAGCACAAAAGTGCTGCAGGTGAGGAGAGGCATTTTGGCCGCACGGTAGAAGCTGGTGGGTCTCGATATCCTGAGACCAGCATCTCTCCTACAGAGGAAGGGCATGCCCTCTCCTCTGCAGCCAGCTCCTACTGCAAGGGGAATTGCCCTTTCCCAACTCATCTCCAGTACAGGTGAACACCACGGCATGAGGCACAAGAGAGGGGATGTTAGCCCAGGCAGTGCATCATGTCCAGAGCTGTCCTGCGGATGACATGACAGCCCCCAGCACCAGCCAGTGCTGTCATGTAACATGCCACATGGAGTCTGCTCACATGGAAGCAGTGCTTCACCTCTGAGCAAATGCTGGATTGCTCTCAGCTGTGGCACATAAGTGATTTGGAGGAAACTGCAGCAGTTTGCTGGGCCTGGAGTTAGCTCTTTCTCTGGTCCTGGAGAAAAATCCTCCCTGGAACCAGGCACTTGGGTTGGCTTGTGACTTCTGAAGGGTTTCCTGCCCTTAGTTTTGCACCCTCACCCACTGAAGGACAGGGGTAGATAAAGGGCAAAATATGATATATTTAGAAAAAAGGAGCATGCAGCCTTTTCAAACACAAACCCCTTCACAAACAGGAAAATGATCTAATTCTACCGTGTAGAGAAGCGATGGAGGTATGTATAAAGAAAGAACAAGCACATTTTCCTTTTTCTACTTTTCTACTTTTATGTATCATATAATCTGTCATGAGATAATCCAAGCACTTTTGTTAAAATAAAAAGCAAAAGTTAGACATCCAATGATAATCTCCCTGAGAAGGGAACCCAGACCAACCTATTCCCCACACTGGACTAGAAGATACATTCATTAGACACGAGAAATGGGAGACTTTGTCCCAAAGCATCAAGCCTGGAGCAAGTTCGGCTCACTCTCTCTCTGCTCTCTGCTAGAGATCTGCCGCCTGCCTGCGTGCCTGCAGCAACGTTCCTGCCTACTCTTGAGCCGTGTACTTTTCAGTGTGTCCTCTGCCCATGTGAAAACCCGGTAAGTGCCAGGCCAGGCTTCAATCTGGTCAATTAGGGCATGCTGAGTTCCAAGACCTGGTAGCTGTAGGCAGGCAAGATAGGGGGAGTGATGGCAACACATATCCACACTTAAGAGATGCCAGAAGATATTTCTGCTTGGACAAAGCCGTGTGGGGATAACGATAATGGAGGACGGAGTCTGGATGCAGAAGGCCAGTCGTAAGCCAACACCACAGGGCAGGTTAGTCAGGTCAATGCGTTTGTGGCTTTTCTGTCATTTATTAAAATTTCCTCTGCAGCAGGGAGGAGGGACGGTACCAGCCCTGCCCCTTGCTCTCTGCCCAAACCTGCTCTCTCCAATTCATTTGATTTTACCTCTGAAAGGTGTTGCGCCCTGTGCGGTCTCTCCTGCAGCAGCGGGAAGGCAGCAGGCTCCAGCTGGCTGTCTTTGGGAGAGCCAGGGAATCCAGTAGAGGTGGGCTGTACAGGAAAGACTTGAACAAACTGGGAAACAGACTTAGGGCAGGATCTGGCAGATCCAGTCACTCTCAGGTGAATTGTGACCATCTTTCTCTTGCCTCCTACCCCGATTTGCTTTGTGGGCTGTAGATGCTGCTCCCTCCCTTCCACAAAGACAGACTGGAAGAGGTGTACAGCTGTGAAGACCTGAAGGCAGAGCAAAATGAGATGGGCCTTTACACAGCAATGTGCAAAGCAGGTGGGTAAGGCTGGTGGTGGGAAGGGTGGGTGATGGCAGTGGTTACCTGCAGCAAGAGGGAGATTGAGATCAATCATCGGCCAAAGTTATTCTTTGCAAAGGCCCAGGAAGGTCAGTGACATTGTTTATGAGCCTGTAGCACTTTGGTTTTGATTGGAAAAGACAGTGCAATTACAGCACCTATTTCATGAGATCAGCTTCTGAATTTATACAGCAGGCATCAACGAAATCACAGCTTGTTGCTCTGCCGGCTTAGGTAGGACATCCACTCTTTGAGGGGAGGGTTCCCCATAGCTACCAGCTTTTTCAGAAAGGCACTGGGCCGTAGCCCAGGAACATCAGGGTGGACCTCGGAGTATTTCTGCAGTTTAGACAGAAAGCAAGGGAGCCCGACAGTGGAAGCATAGAACATGGGGCCACCCCTATGCTTTGGCCACCCATAGCCATTGATATAAATTACATCCAGGTGTTCTGGGCCAGATGCTATTCCCTCAGCCAGGATGTCAAACCCTTCATTGATGAGGGAAAACAAACACCGCTCCAGGATTTCCTCCTGATCTATAAAGCGGGTCTTGATGTGATGGGTGTCTCTGTACTGGGCCAGGAAGTTGTGAAGCCATGGATCTGGCTTGGCTGTCCTGCCCCCAGCCTTCTCATACTGATACCAGCCTTTTCCAGTTTTCTGGCCGAACCTGCCATTCTCACACAAAAGATCTGGCAGTGGGCTGTAGCGATGGCCATGCCGCTGGCGGGCAGGTGTTTCTGGAGGTATTAAGGCACCAGTGAGGCCCTGGTCCTTTCGAGACCTCCAGCCCACATCCAGCCCAGCAAGGTCAGACATTCGGAAAGGTCCTATCTTAAACCCAAAATCTTCAAGAACCTGATCTACGGCTTCTGGTCTGCTTCCTTCCTCTAAAAGAAAAACTGCCTGTTGAACGTATGGAAACATCATTCGGTTCCCAACAAACCCAAAACAATTCCGTACCACCACTCCAACTTTTTTCAGTGCTTTGGCTAGCTGCATGGCAGTGGCAATGGCGGTGGGGGATGTGTGATAGCCATAGATTATTTCTAATAGCCTCATCACATGAGCAGGGGAGAAGAAGTGCGTGCCAATGACCTGCTGTGGGCGGCTCGTGGCAGAAGCTATTTCATCGATGTTCAGGGCTGATGTGTTTGTACACAGAAAGGCCCCTGGCTTGCAGATTCTTGATAGCTTATGGAATATTTCCTTCTTTAGTGCCATGTTCTCAAACACAGCCTCAATAACTAGATCTACATCCCGCAACACATCGAAGTCCACAGTGAACTGGAGACGTGCAGGGTTATGGAAATCCAGGGTTTGGGCACCCTGCTCCATTTTCATAGCCTCATGTTCCAAAAGGAGCATCACAGCTTTTCTTCCTGTGTTCAGAGACTCCAGATTCTGCTCGAGGGCTACCACAGGTATGTTGGCCTTAACCAGAGAAGTCACAATGCCTCGGCCCATTGTTCCTAGCCCTAGGGATAAAAGTGAGACAGAATCAGAGACAATGGATAGAAAATGTTACAATTAATCACTTGACAGTAGCACTTCCTTTGTATCTCCAGGATAAAATGTGGAAGCCTATGCAAAATGAGTGGTGCACAGATAGAAAAAAAGAATTGAAGACTGGGAAAAAGGAAGGTGAATTCTCCCTTTCAGTGAGCCTAAATGTTTGAAAAGCAGTAGCGTAACGGCAAGTTAATGTCCTCTCAAGCTTACAAAATATCAGTGGGATTCATGCTAGTGTGTGCAGACCATGTGATTCATGTCTTCTCCCTGCAAAGTTTTATACCTATGGAAACCAGCATCACTGAAGAGTTAGAACCTGGGGATCAAAGGCAGGAGATCTGAGTTTCAGCTTCAACTCTGTTAACAACTTCTAGCAGGCAGTTTCATAAGCAAGCTTCACCCTGAGGGTATCAATGCCTCTCTGTGCCTGTGAGATGGTCCTTTATGGGCACTCATAGAAGAATATTAGTGTAAGCAAACACACCACACCCAGAGATTTTAACACCAGCAAAGCTCAGACAATTGGTTTCTCCCTCCTTCCAAGCTTCCTCTTTGTCCCCTTCCTCTTCTCCCTCTGCATTTCACTGCGTAATCTTTGAAGCAAACAAAATTCAGCTGATCTTGGACACTGATCTTCTCTAAACTTTGTCTCTAATGTCTTGTATGTCTCTTGTCACCAGTTCAAACAGGATGGAACTAACATAGTGTTCTTAATCCAGATTGCAACATCTTCTATCTCCTTTTTAATCACTCTGGAACATCAGTAGCCTTTTGCTTGCTGTTCGCACTTTATATCAGGCATCTCTGCCCACTGGGAACTCTCCAAGTCCTCCAACACAGGCCATTCCTAACTTCTGAAGATTCTCAAAGACACAGTCTTCCTTGTCCAACCACGCAGTTAAAGTGCTTGCCCAGAATTCCTGTAACTGAGCATCCATTCAAGCTGTTTTTTTCTCCAAGATCCATAAATGCGCTACTACCAGCTCATAGCCCCAGGAATACCAGTGTAGAGATTACCAGCTTGATCCCTTCCCTCCTTCTGAGCCCTTCCACCAGCTCTGCCCTCTATTACATTAAATGAAGCTGCACGCTTACACTTTCCTGTGATACACAACCCACACTATTTATCCTGCTCTCCCATGATGGAGGCTTTTCAGACTAAGTTAATACAAACTAGTAAGAGAAGGCCAGCACAATTTTACCAGCTTTAAAAGTGCGAAGCATCTGAATGGGAGGATTATTAATATCCTAAATAAAGCAACAACCAGACAAAGTACAGGTCTGTTATAATTCTGTAAAAATGATTTTTTTAATCCCAGGTTTACAAATGAAAGTCAGCTAAACAAATAAACAGAAACAAAGGGATTAAAAAATTTGTCTAAAGCAGCTTTGTAAAGAAGAGCTGAAATTATGTCACCAGTTAAACAAGTTCCAACAATCAAGGTCAAACAAGGTAGTATGTTTTTCCCGCAAGCTACACACCCATGGTTTAGTTCTGTCCACCCTCAGCTTGTGTACACACAAGACATTTAAAACATTCCCTGCTTAGCCACAAGAAGATAGTTTTTACAGACATCGCTATCTGGCAGCCTGCTTATAAACCATTACACTCCCAAGCAAATGCTAAAGTTCTTTTCTAGGAAATTAGATTTGCTACTTCATAATCAAGTACTACTAAAAACTAATTTGAAAATAAAACTAGAATAACATGAATCAGTTCTTAGTATTTCAGTGTCCATGGTTTGCTGACTGAAAAACCCCCGAACACAAGTAGCTCCTGCCACTGTACTCAATACTCAGGGGCTTGGATGTGGCAGCAGGGACAGGCAGAGACAGTTTTTTCCCTGTCTTTGGTGAGCTACACAGACTGCTTTCTTCTCTAACAGTGCGGGAGGGTAACTCACCACCTCCTGCATACCCACCAAACCCGGCCCCATCTTTAAGGCTCTCTTTAGACATTAAGGGTTTGCAGTTCCATATCTGGGTTCTTCATGGCTCCCTCTTGAAGTCTTTTCCTCCTTTCCAGGGTGGAGACCTGGGATTTCTCCCTAGAATTTCCAAGCTCTACTAAAGAAATAACACACACATCCTGGGCCTTATTAACTTCTGTTCCTCTCAGCTTCAGTCTCATGACTGAAATCTTAGCAGTCCTCTTGCAACATGAACACGCTGCTTCTCCCTAAATCAAAACCTCTTCCATGAGCAGAGGTTCTGCAGCCTTCTTTTCAAGGGAAGTTCTGCAGTGGTGTTAGCTGATTCCCCTGTTTGCTTTCGTCCACATGTAGTATGAGTACTTCCATCTAGGTTTTAGCCATCCCATGATAGACAGGCATACATGCTTGTAGTACCTCACTTTCTAGACCACGGGAATAGCCTTATAGATAAGATATGAGCTTGCCAAGCTTGTTTCTGACCTAGAAAAGCTGTCTCTCAACTTACTACATCATAACTCTTCAGTGGCCTGTATGAAATGATGTTTAATGAAGCTGGCAGAGAGAGTAATGAAAGCCCCAAGGGTTTTGTTACATTAGAGCTTGCACAGCATGACTCCCCTGGAAATATTTTCTAAAATTGGGCTATAAAACTAAGGAGGGATTTGGCTAGCTAGCAGGGAAAGAAGCATTTTTGAGGACTCCCCTTTTCAATTTTATAAAGCTGAGTGATACTGGGGAAGAATATATTACAGCAGAAAAAAATGGTAGGGAATCATTGGGCCTTACATGTGTAGAAGGCTGTAGAAGAAAGAGAAAGGGAAATGTTGCATGCTCAGCTCAGATCACACAGACCAAAACACGGTGAGGAACTACTCCAGAATTTCTACTGTATGTTCCATTTTCTTCCTCAATAGTGCTCTCACTTCCCCCAAACCATGAAAAAATCCTATATTCTTATCTTCCACACAGGGGACAGTTTTCAGAGCTGTGTTACCATCTTTCATGCCTAAGGCACATCTTTCAAAAGAAGACTGAAATCTGCTTCAGGAAAAAGAACAGCGTCTAGCCATCTTGCTTCTGGTCTTTTGTTGTGAAATGTAGCTTTGACGTATAAAAAAACTACACTTGAGCCCATGTAATTTCAGGCCAAATATGGATATGACAAAGCCATTTGCTGGGCAAGCTGAGTGACTAATGACTGTTAATTATTGATCTGTCACATGAGGTACTTAGAATATGAAAAATCATGCAAAATTAATTGAAGGACTTTAAAAACAAATTTCAAAACAAATTAACTCGAAATATGTACAAAGCAACTCATGTACAGTCACACACACACGAGAAATACAGATCAGTGGAAAATATTCTGAACTATAATGAATTTTTGGACTTTAAAATGCTGGGCAATGGAAATAATACTTTATAGATTGGTAAAAGTATGCAACGACTGTTCCAGTTTTCCTGTTAAAAACAACAATGAGCAATTGGCGGTGGCGGACTGCTCAGACTGGAGCTGCTTCTTTCTCTGTTTCAGGGCATTAATTTCAAGCAGAAATAATGTGATACTCAAGGCAAGCAGGGAGCTATGGGAAGACTGCAGAAGGGACAGAGAAGAAGAACTCTTTTTCTGGGTGATGAGGAACCAGAGAACGTGGAAAGAGATGGAGCCAAGAGTTCAGAACAAGCAGAAGCAAACGAAATAGGTGACATTGCATGTGGCTGAAGACAGTCAAGGACAGCTAGGCCAAGAGCAGGAGGGATTCCACATAGTTGGTGTTACCCACTTATCAGTCTTTCCGCAAGCAAACTGCAAAGGCAGCTGATGGGAAGCCAGCATTGCACAGGAACAGTTGCCCGTTCATCAGCAATGCTATCTATCAAGCATGCCCACAAAAATGATAGATCATCCTTGATGTTGAATCTACGTTAAGACATCGTCAGCAAGCGATGTGCCAGCTCCCTCCAACAAGTTCTTGCTAATACTGGACAGACAGGGGAGTCACAAAGCAAGGCTCCCCTAGCATTCATGGCACTGTTTCCATAACCTAAAGGTCCTCTGTGCCTACAGAAAAGGTACTGAAGGAGGGGGAAGTCAATGTGATCTTCTCAGTTGCTTCCCATGGTGCAGCAATAAAAGCCAGAAGTAGCAGCATAATGTGACATGGTTTTAGTGTGTGAAACAGCACAGCACTGTCTATTGGAAAATGGGGTCTGCATGATTTCTGACCATCCAAAATGCATGCAACATCTTGCTCTGACTGCCCTCCTCTCTGCAGTGAAAACAGAGAGACCCTGGATCACCTAGGTAGACTCAATACTTAAATGGATGAGCAGCACTATTTTAAAAGGTGTCAGTCCCTCAAAAATAATCCCTAAGATTTTGATTTCTGGTGCTGCAAGAATGTACTTAAGATCAAGAATGTGAAATTATGAGATACTGTACAGCATGGTACTGGCTGGAGAATGACTTTTTGTTACAGCAGCCTGAAAGAAAAAATACAATTGTGTTGGCATGTGCTATGCCTGTCTGTAACGGACTTGCAATTTCACTGATGTCAAAAGGCAAAATAGGAGGAAAACCTTCCAGAGGAAGGAGAAAAAGCCCAATGGCGTGGCAGAAAGAAGTGGTGGAAAGCAGTGACACTTAATATGGTGTGGGATTCAGAGTTAAAAGGAGGTGATCAATAACCTCCAAAATAGAAGATGTCACTAATCAAATGAAGTCTAACATGAACAACTAGCATAAACAAAGCAAGCTATAATTGTGGGCTATGGGGGCTGTATTGATAGAAGCAGTGATTCAGAAAAGGCATTAGGAATCTTGGTAAGTGTCAAGGCCTTGAGGACACTGATAAGCTTTAATGACTCTGACCAGCTACACCTGGAGCCTCCACCCCCACGCACTTCCCATGGGCCTCAGAGCCCCATTTAAGCTCAGACCTGGGCCTTCAGTCCCTTCTTAAGCTATGTTGGAGGAGTTCTGGTGTCTCACTGTGGCTGTGCTGGGCTATGGACACTGTTGATCCAGACCTTAGCCTGCAGACTGGCTTCCCAACTTTACCTTGGACCTGCATCATCATGTGAACTTTGCTTGATCATCTGTACTTGTAGTAGATCCTGGCCATGATCTTTGGGTCTGCCCTGCTTGCCTTGCTCAGGTACTGTAAATAATTGATACAGCAGTGGGTTGTGCTGTCATCCAGAGGGAGAAATGGGTTGATAGGAACTTCATGAAGTTCAGCAAGGGGAAGTGCAAAGTCCTGCATCTGGGGAGGAATAGTCCTATGCATCAGTATATGCTGGGGGCTGACTGGCTGGAAAGCAGCTCTGCAGAAAAGGATCCGGGGGTCCTGGTGGACACCAAGTTGGCTATGAGCAGCAATATGACATTGTGGCAAAGAAGGCTAATGGTATACTGGGCTGCATTAGGAGTCTCACCGGCAGGTTGAGGGAGGTGATCCTTCCCCTCTACTTAGCACTGGTGAGACCATATCTGGAGTATTGTGTCCAGTTCTGGGCTCCCCAGTACAAGAGTGATATGGAGCTATTGGCGTGTGTTCAGTGAGGGGCCACTAAGATGATTAAGGGACTGGAACGTGTCTCATGAGAAAAGGTTGAGAGAGCTGTGACTCCAGCCTAGAGAAGGCTCAGGGGGATCTCATGAATGTATATAAATACCTGAGGGGCGGGTGTAAAGAAGATGAGCCAGACTTTTTTCAGCGGCCCTCAGTGACAGGACCAGAGGCTATGGGCACAAACTGAAATGTGGGAGGTTCCATCTGAACATAAGAAAACACTTTTTTTTTTTTTTACTGTGGGGTGCCTGAGCACTGGCACAGGTTGCCCAGAGGTTGTAGTCTTCATCCTTGGAGATATTCAAAAGCTGTCTGGACATGGTTCTGGGCAACTGGCTCTAGGTGGCCCTGTTTGAGCAGGGGGTTGGACAAGATGACATTCAGAGGTGCCTTCCAGCCTCAAAGATTTGGTGCTTCTGTCCCTGTGGGAGGTGTTATTGCCATTGGCTCCCCATCCCTGGGGCACAGCTACTCCCTGCCAGTAGACAATTAACAGGATGTGTTGAACATGGCTAATGTGAAAGTTGGCTGTTACCTTGAGTGTACTAAGTAGGAACAAGGCAGAAACATCTTGTTACCTGGTCTTAGCATAGCTGCTCCTGGAATACTGCTCCCACTCTGGCTATGCATGCTTTATGAAGTTTTGAAAAATTAGGGGAAGTTCAGAGTCATGAAAATGACTGGAGTGTGACAGATTGTGCTCTGAAGCAAAAGTATCAAAGCACTTAGCTTATTATTGTGCAAAAAGCATGGGTTAACTTGAGCATTGTCTGTAATCAGCTACAAAAACACTGAAACTTGGGGGTAGAGGTTGGGGCAATTTCAGACCAGAATTCAGAAACCTGTCTGGAGATGAGATGCAAATACTTAATCCAATGGATAGGAGGTGTAGCCCAGCCAGTTCAGTTTGGAAATAAGTTACAGATTATGTTTCTACTAGAAACTTTCAAATAGAGATTGCATTTGTCCTTAGAATTCCCCCTAGCTCAGTTAAAGCACCAAAATAAGCAGACCAGATCTAAACAGCCCTTCTGGCTAAACTGTCATTGCGATTGGGACTTTGCAAATGTATTATTCTGGCATGATTTATCAGTATGTAGCAAAGAATGCCTATTCTAGTCACCTGATCATTTCTACAAAACTTCAACACAAGCCCCTCCTGCCAAAGCACATGTTGCAGGACTGACCTGTCTGGGATTGCATGTGTCCAAAGTACTGTGCTCTTCAAGTTACATGATAAACTTGGCAATAATTCTTGCCTCTTTACCTGAATGCTATAACAGCCATGGATCCTCCTCACAAGGTTTGTGGACTAATGTTTAAAAACCATTTTCATTAAAAATATGGCATGGCAGCTAATGAAGAGAAGGCAACTTCCAAAAAAAAAAAAGTGTTTCTATGGCCTGAAATGAGCTTTCAGAGAGCTCATACTGCAGAGCACAAGAGGCCTGAGAAGTACCCAGGAAAGAGCAGCGTTGATCTGGTGAGCTTCCTCTGAAACAGAATGGATGTTTTCCAAGTGCTCCATTACTTGTCTAACCAGTTTTTGAGTGCTACTATCAACAGGCAGAGCTGAAAAATACTTTTTTAAATCTCAGCAGTGCATCAAAGGTTTTATTTAAATTGCTCTTATAAAAAATTAATGAAGGCATTATCTTGCTGGGCTATAAAATGGCAGGAGCGGATCCCAGTGAGATGAAATCTTCTTAAAATACAGCTGTCAAAACATTTTTGTATTAATATATCCCTGAGTGACTCTGTGCACATGCACTTGCGGTACAGAACTTGACCAGGAGGAGGAGAATTTCATGCAAACGTGCTTATAACACAGAACAAAGCCAGGACTCAACATAGCAGTATTTAAAAGGGAACAGACTGCTTATGGTCCACAGGTGGAAGCTGTCTCTGAAGTGAGAAGTTATTCTTCCAAAGAAAGAGGTGGCATCAGGTAACAATCTAGTGGGATGTGACTTGCCATCTGAATTTCTGAGCTTACCAATGTAGTGACAACTTCCCTCCTTGCATGTCACCTATAGGTGTGGAGTATTTTTGCCTATGATGGGTACCAGTGTCTTTGGTGAGTGACTGCTAGGGAATCCCACTTCAGCCTTCTGTCTTGAGTAAAGCCCAGTTATACTCATCCCACTCCCCTTCAGCTGTGCTGTTAGCTGTGCAGTCAGCAACCACAACAGCTTTTTCATTCCCTTACCTATCACAGCTGCTTTGCAGATGGGCTGAGGGGAAGCACTTTTCCATGAAGCTCCACTGGGTGTTGTCCACTTCTGCACTGCTCTCTCCGCGAAGAAAGCGTACTGCAGTGCTTGGGCCTGGCCTGAAGTCAGCAGGATGTTAAACAGCTCTCGCTCCTTCCGGACTCCATCTGCAAAGGGCTGCTCTGTGGCAGCTTTGACTGCCTGGAAGCACAGCTCTGGAGCCAGGCACCCGTGGGCCTGTTTCTTCACCTTCACAAGAGCCTCACTGAGAAATGCTTCCATGTTGGGCAATTTTGGAACTGGCTTCAGGCTGAGCCTGTGGGGTCCCAATGGCTGGCCTGGGGGTAGAAGAATGGAGTTACAGAACAAAGCATCCACATCTGGAAGACTACAGATTTTCACCCCTTTCTACATAGACTGGGAATGCAGTCTACCTCTTTTCCTCCTAAGCTCACTGCATTAGGGCTTGCATGGCACAGTGATCTAGGTCTAGAACTAAAGTGTCTGACATTTCTCTTTAGCTTTCTGTTTGTTCTGACAATTACAATTTTTCAAGTCCCTTCTCAGACTTCAAAAAAGCAAGATTTCAATTTCAAAGAAGTAATTCTCTCCTTCCTTTTCTCAGCTACACAGAGTGCCTTGGCTTCTCCAGTTCTCTTACTCCACAGTCCCAGCTGCCACATTCATATGGCTCTTTCTATAAGCTTCAGTACTGAAGTTTTCCTCCAGTATTGTTTAGTACTCAGTGCCCAATTGACTTTGCTAGCCAGATGCATTCCAGCCAGGGTCCTGACCCAGGCGTTTATAAGAGAGACTGGGAAATATACCCTGACTTCAATTCTTCCCTGGCAGCAGGAGTCCCTCTATTCACTTTGGCACTAACCAAGGGGACAGCTCATGCAGCATGAGTTGGGGAGCAAATGAATGATAAGGGAGAGTTCATGCTTCTGTGTCAGCAAGGGGTGAATCAAGCAGCCACACAAATACATGAGGCTCATTACAGACAGAGGTTGCTATGGTGACACCTAGAAAGGATTTTAATTGAGAGAAGTTAGTTACATTTCAGATGCCAAAATCCTCTTCATCCTCTTCAGAAGTACAAACCTTGGTGCCTGCTAAGGGATCTCTGATCTGTCCATACTCAGGCTGTTCCTATGCTCTTAAGGGCAGCTTGCCTCAGTAAAGACCGTGGAGGAACAAGATCAGAAATTCGGGATGTATCCCCTTAATATTCCAACATTTTCACAAAGATCCTTTTGTCATCATAGCCACATCCAGATCGTTAACTGTGTAGCAATGTTACTGCACTGACTGCTGCAGTGCTGTTCCCAGAAGTGCCCAGGACTGCCACCAAAGCAGGATGGTGGGTGGGCTCCCTCTAATGGAGAAACTTATGGTGAGAAGCTCTCTGGTATACAGTCTCACTGCCCTAGTTTCTTATATGAGCTCTGCCACAGGAGCGCACTTCCTTCAAAGGTGGCATATTGCATCCAGCTCCATTTTTTCTTCTTGTCTGAGTTAGGAAAGTGCCAGTGCATCAGCAGAAGACTCAGGAGCAGGAAGTCATACACAGGATGCTGAAGGGCAGGAATAATGGTAGCACTGCAATCATGGTTGCCCAAAGAACATGTCCTGACTCTAACTCTTCCTCCAAGACCAAGCAATGTTTAAGAGAAACAGAAATATGAGTTTCCAGGATGAGTTAAGATACTGATTTCCTGAAATAATGGTCTTCAGAGCTCAGGCTTTTTAATTAAGCCTTTTGGAGAACACAAAGATGAACACTCACTGTGTAAGTAGCTTCCCTTGTAATCAGAGTTCATAAAAATAATGTTTTCACGTTGACAGTGAATATAGTTTGTATCTGCCAGTATTGCAGGATTTAGTCAGGATAATGTTCCTTTATTTTGGAATCCTTTGTTTCTCCCCTAAATGTATGTTTTTAACCCAGAAATGCTCTTTATCCACAGTCCCTTATTTAGGAACTTAAATAGTGGGTTTCATTTCATCACAAGAGGAAACCTCAGGTTTGTCCCAGAAAGCAGATCTGATGGCTGGAAGGCCACTTAAGACTGGGCAGATCAAGGGACTTCGTATGACATCTCTGATGTGGAAAGGACTGGTAAAGAAGGAATACTACTGGGAGCCTTTAAGCTTGGTCTTTAGATAACAAATAGTACTTGTAAGCACAAATACTGATGGGGGACATGAGAGAGTTCCTCAGAGTAAAAAAAGAAAAGTAACTCTCCTCAGGGTCCTGTAATAAAACTCTCATTTAGCTGTAAGCTAAATACGTTTTGCTAAGTATTTCTACAGCATCTCTATGCAGTGTCTTTGCTTCTGCAATGCTAATAAGAATCAAGGGTGTATTTATGAACAGGAAAAAATGATCTGAATCCAAACCTGGGAAGAAGAGATCAGTGTGGGACACCTGCAGCTTGATTTCTGAAATCAAAGCAGCAGGAACATGATGAACAGTATCAGGCATCAGTGCCACAGGGAAAAGCATCATCTGTTCACAGGAGCTAGTACAGATACCTGCTTTGTTTTACTAGGGTTTGTAGTCCAGGTAGCACAAAGGACAGATCAAGTCTATAAAATTTCTATCAGCAAAAGCAACATGTGAGCATGCAGTATCAAATATTGTGCTATTTAAAGAAAAAAAAAAATCATCCCACAGTTGTAAACCCTTGGGATATTACAGGATTCCACATGCAAGAGGCAGGGCTAGCCTAACAGTCTTCCTGGTGCAGTGAACTGCTTGTGAATTTCTGAGAAACAAAGCTGAAACTGGACCCCTGCTCCTCATGCTTGCAGTTGTCTCAGGCCTGCCAGAGGCAAGTCCAACTTGTCAGACCTTTCACAAACTCTGGTTGTGTCAAAGGGGCACTTTGCTAGACCTTCTGCCTAAAGAAGGTCGCAGCCAGAATCATGAGCCCTGGAGAGAGGTTAAAATGTCTTTATATTGTACATCTTCCCAGAGATGACGCACTAAAGGCCCTTGCAACTGTAACTGAAAGCCTTTCTCCAACAGTCACCATTTAAAGCTTGCAATTACCTAACAGCAGTATCTGTTACTCCTTTGGGTTTTATGAGACTCAGAAGAAACACATGCTTCCTCCACAGTTACTCCTAGTGGCTTACAGTCAGCAACTCATAATCATCTTTCCATGCAGAGTTTAATACCTGTGGGGCCTGAGCTAGTCTAAATTGAACTGATTTTCCCTGGCTCTTTGGTGCAAGCCGTTGATGCTTTTGTGCTCTGAGAAGATGATAAAGGTCAATCAGCAGATGTGGTCAGAAAGCAAGGGAAGATTATATATAAAGGGAGAGCTTCAAAGAAGTCTGCTATGCAGAGGATCAGCAGCCATTTTCTCCTCCAGCCGAGGAAGACTACAGCAGGCCAGCAAGAGGTGGGCAGTATAAGCTGCAAGCTACTGCCTGCCACAAGCAATTACAGCAATTTTTCAATTTTGTGATGCCATCAGGTGGACAAATTACATAATGCAGCTTTGAATTAGTGCAGTGATTATCAAGCACATTGAATGAAAGAACACTTTCCTTGTCTCCAAGGATTTAGCTCCTATCTATTCCTTCTAAAAAATGCCTTCAAAAGTGAAGATATTTTCTTTTGTCTGAAGAGGCCAGTTTGCCTGAAGAAGGCCAGGAACATATGCTCACTTCCTATCTGCAATATATAATTACTGCTTTTCAATGAAAAATTTAACTTAGAATCGATAATTGTCTCTGTGTATTCCTACAACCACTTATTCAGGACTGTTTCAAACTCCTTTTGAAGGTTTTCTTCATCCATACATTTTTATGGATTATTCCTAATGAAGATGCTTTCCCAACATACCTACCATAAAGGTAGCTCTCTCAACTGCATATCAAAACAATAATCAAGGACCCTTGCTTCAGTAAGGCCAGTCATTTGAGACTGATCTCTTGCCATGAGATACTGCAGCTCCAGTGCTGAGAAAGCTTTAGAAGAAAATAACTTCTGAATTGATTCTTTGAGATGTATCTTGCAGTACAGCCTTCCCAGGAATAGAAATTCCATCAGTGACAAAACTAGTTATTTAGCCAAACTAGTCTGTAAGAAGCCAGCAGTTGTTAACCTCATGTTTAAAAAAAAAAAAAATCTCATCAGAAACAAAATGCTGCATGCCTTACAAAGGCAGTGGAGTTCTGTGATGGCATTTTTTTGTGCAGCTCTGTCTCTGTTTTAAGATTATCTGAAAAATGTTCACTGAAAACAGAACTCAATGTGAACAAAAACCAGACCAGCTATGCAAGACTGTCATCTCTTTTGCAGCCCTGAGTTAGTGCTCGATGTAGAGAAATAAAAGTGCTGGTTTGCCTTTGTATGGCAGGAGAATTATATTAACTTTAGGCAAAGGCCAAAGCCAGGGATGACTCAGAAGGAACATACGGATGCTGGGTACACCATTCTTTCAAATTATCAGGTAACCTGGGGCTAAATGGTGCATCAAAACTTTCCATGGTCTTCTGCAAGGTCTAATGAGAAATTTTCCAAGCGGGAAAGAAATAAAGATTGCTGACTTGCCAGTATTTTCACTGTTAAAGCAGATACTGTAAATGCCAGTAAAGCTGTCAGAAAGGGTCTTGAAAGCATTTTTAAAGTCCTGTTGGAGTTGGTATATAGTGTGATGTGAAACACCTTCAATGACATTACTCATTTTTACTGGGGTAACTCAAACCAGAAATAAACAGATAGAAAATCTACCACTAATAATGAGTAAGACTGGGACAGGTTATGTGCTGAACATCCAGCTAGGATTCTTGTATGCTTATACAAGTCTCAAAATTTTTCTTGGTAGTGACAATTTCCAATGAAGATGAAGCTACAGAAGAGGAATTTGCCAATAGTAGTAGTGGACATACATTCCAGAAAGCAAGTTACGCTGAGGAGTAGTGTGCTCAATGATTCATTCCTGAGGTCTAAGGTCAAGCTGACTTTCACAACTGTCAACCACTGCACAATGTCTGTCACAAAAGAAATAAGCATACAAGTATCTAAATTTCACCCAATTTCACATAGCATTTGTTGAAATCCAGAATGCTTGCCGGTTTGTCAGTTCTAGCAATGTATCTACTACTCATTTTGTGATACACTGCTGCTGCCATCAATACTGGTATAGATCTTATGCAGGGCATCATTCAGAAGCCCAGAGGGTACATCGAAGGGAACACTGTTGTTTGGGTTAATTTGCCTAGAAGAGTAGTAATATTTCACTGCTCTCCCAACAGATGGAGAAACAGAGTTCTCATTCAAAACAGACAAAAATCAGTGAACGAAATTATCTTCATTTTTCTTAGAAGCAATAGCGAATTACATCACCCATCTCTTTCTAAAGAATTATATTTAAATAGTCTGATTACATATAGAGAAAGAGAAGAGAGGACTGCTTATGTCATCAATTCTGCACTAAAAATGAAGCCCAAAAATACCGTAGGATGAATACAGTGAGAAGGAAGGGCATCTCTTACAGAAAACTTAGACAAAGAATACCCTTTTGCAGCTATCTGGTAAATCTCAAGTTGTAGAGAAGTATACAAGACACCGATCTTTAAGAATAGCCTATTCATTGAACTATCTTAAAAATATGGTGCACTGCCGTCTAGGACAAAGCTTAGGCTGCTATAACTTCTAGCACAGGAGAAGTGCTCCTACAGAGAAGAAAGAGCCTTGTTTGTAGCGAAGAGAACTGCAGGAGCAAAGGCAGCATCCCAGCTTGGAAAAGCATTGCTTATAAAGGCCATGTGATCAAAGCAGAAAGGTTTTTTTGCTTCCTTGCACGCATCTCATTGTGACAGAGCTCCAGATGAAATCCTGATGGAAGTCAATGGTCTGTTTCCAAAGGTATGAGGAGGTTAGTAACGGAAAAATATCCTGTTTTCTCTCAAGGTGATGCTCCTCATGCTGCACAAGGAATGTTCCTCTTCCTGTGTTAACTCCAGTGAATTTAATTTTGTTATTTCTAAGGTGGGAGGAAAAAAGTCTCTCCACATCCCTCCTATCTCCACAGGCCACTTTCTTATATTGTCCCTAATCCTTTAGTTGCTGAATCACTTACAGACTCATGGATTATTAAGTTGGGCTGAGGATGTGCCAGCCCCTCCACTGGAGGGAGCAAGTTATTTTTGATCAGCCATTATTGATGGTGCAACCAGAATACATGCAATACCAGCTGTGATCCAAAACTATGTATGATCCAAAACTCCTATGGAAGGAGCACATACTCCCCCAAATCAGTGGAGTGCAGCAGCCCAGAGGAGCATGTGAATTTGGATATATAATTAAGAAGCAGGAGGACTCGATATGCATCTGTTCTCTGAATCCTCACTTGAATTTCTGCAGCTCTCCAGCATCTGAATTTTTCACTTCAGACAACAGAAAACAAATTTTGCAATTGTATCTTATATGGATGCCAAAACTCAATGAATGGAGCATATAAATTGGAACAAACTGGTGGGCTTTGTTCTGACTCCCCCCAGCCCTGAAACATCACCAATTATTTATTGTCATTGCTACAATTCTTTCCTCACCAATCACTTTGTTTGCCAAGCGAATTGCTGCCTCAACTGTGTTTTCTTCCACAACTTCATCAACCAAGCCCAGCTTCAGTGCTTCAGTTGCTGGAATGTGTCTTCCTGTGATAAAAAGAGAAATAAGCTGACTAGAGTGGGGCATGATGGGCAATTTCATTCTTTTCCATCTGATCAAATGACTTGTGTGTAGCTGGCTTCAAATATGAGACATGCTCATTATCAAGTACACAAAATGCATTACTAACTTCATGCCTCAGAAGCACGTATGTCCCTTTCTTAGCTCATCATTAGTGGAAGCAAGCTGAATTTCAACCCCAGCAGCTACTTAGATAAAAGAAATTAATGTTTCTTAGACCAAGCTGGTGGTATGACTCAATGCCATATTCTTATATACAGAGCAAGGCCAAGGCATGGTACTTTACCTGTAGTGATTATATCCAGAGCAGCTGGTACCCCAATCAGTCTGGGTAGTCGCTGAGTGCCTTCAGCACCTGGAAGTAACCCAATGGTGACCTCTGGTAAACCCATCTGTGCCTAAAATTAAGTCAAATTCAACAACAAATCTGATTAGAAGGAGTGATAGTTACAAACTGAGCAGAACAGAGGAAGGACGAGCAGACCTGATTCACACATTGCTCTTCTAGGAAGCCTCAAAACTTCTACATAGAAACTTCATCCTTGCTTTATGCCACATAAGACATTTAAGACAAAAGCCCACTCAACCATTTCAAGAACTTGTGTACAAATGCACAGGAAAAACATCACCTTTCAGTGGATGTATGTGTGCTAGCACAGCACTGGAGGAGAGCTGTGGGGCCAATAGCATCCCCCAGATTGACACATATGTAAACTAATGCTTTCAAGCATTTGTTACCAAATCCTGGAGGGCACTCTGTGACTTAACTGTTACCTCCCTACTCTAATTCTTGGAAGTTTAGTAAAGGAAAATTGGTACTGAACTCTTCCCTAATCTTCCTTCAAATGGCTCTTGGTGCACTTGACATTTAGTAGGGTTATGGCAGAGAAGCCAGGGGCAGCAGGAAGGGGGGGCTTGTCTTCTCTTAAAAATCTATCTAGATTTTGTTGCCTCGTTCTAACAAAAATTAGTTCACACATTTCCCATTGAGCTCTTAAGAGATTTGGAGTCACTTTAAGACCACTAATTATGGTGGTATGCCACCACCCACCTTAGGTGGCATATAGGATGATGTAGAATATCTCTTTATGCTGTTACAGGAACCCACACTGTCATGGAGAAACAGTGATTCACACTGCGAAAGTGAGGGGATGGCCCTATCAGTGAAGAGTCTCTATAAGGAGATCAGGTACCGCTAAAAGGTAGTTCAGCTTTCCTGAATCTTGAAGGAGGGGGTTCAAGAAAAAAAAAAAACAACAGATCACTCTTTAAAAGACTCTTAAAGCTGTCTTTTGGTCAGAGTACTCCCTGAGGAACCAGAGCTCCTGGGGAATCAAACTGTAAATGCTCCATGCTAGCTGAGTTTCAACTGCCTATTGAAACTAGGCCACTAGCAGAAAGAAATGCAGAATTCACAGGGCTGGGGGGGGTGGGGTGGGGAGAGAAAGTCACACTGCATGAGCCAGTAAGATACAGCCATCTACATCAGAATATAGATAATGACTACTGAGATCTAGGGCAAATTAACACTCGGTTACTGAAGTTTCTATGCAGCCACCTTATTCTACTAGTTACAAATCAATTTTATATTTAGAAATGACTTGAAATTAGTAATTTAATAAGACTTATGAAAGCATGTCAAGGGTGGTGTTGCAGGTGAAGAATGTCTGAGCACACAGACTTGTATCCTGTAGCTATAAAGCCCCCCTCCTCTGAGCAGATGATCCCAGGAAAGGCATACTGTCCCACTGCTCTCCAGGAACAGCCTCCCATGCTGTCCATGGCCATATGTACATGGCTCCTGATGCCTTTGCCAGCCTTTCTAGTTTGCAGCATGTGTTACCTTCACATGTGCAATCCGATAGTGACAGCCAAGTGCCACCTCCAGGCCTCCTCCCAAGGCAATGCCTTCAATGGCAGCCACCACAGGCTTCTCACTCCTTTCTATGAGAGAAATGATGGGGCCCAAGGCAATACCCTGTCTCTTCGGAGAAGAAAATCCTCGAATGTCAGCTCCTGAGTTAGCACAAAGAGATGAGGAATTAGTGGGGAAGGCAGTGATTGGAATGATCCTTCCTTCTGTGCTGTTGAACATAGCTGCTCACAGACGATCAAGCCCTTGCAGAGCATGCTGCTGGCAGAAGGAGTGGTCCCCTTTTGGGACCGCCTTCAAGAAACCCTGGCTCCTTGAGGCTATTCAGAGAGCTCAGGAGAAAACAGTACAAAAATACATAACTGTAGCAATCATGCAGTTACTACAGAAAATTGCGGACATGCTTGGTTAAACAAAAACAAAAAGTTGAGTCTGGAATAGTTAAGTGCAAGTTATTACTAACAAGCAGTGTAAAGCTCCACAGAAATTCCATAGCTTCACAGGTTTCCACAACTTGAGAAAATCTGTTATTCACCACTGCCCAACCCCAGGTATGTTCCATACACTGGACCAGTTGATGGTCCAGAGATTTTATACTGATGCCTCCTTACTTTCCGTGGCTTGCTTTGCATATCAGGGAGATGAGGAGGTATCCCCTACTTCAGCATGAACATACCAACTTATTTCTGGCCTGGACAGTCCAACTTGTCATGTGCCCCATGTCAATTGTGGCACAGCAGAATAGAAAAAGCCCATTTTCTTGTGGCCATTTTCAGCCAAATCAGGACTTTTATCAGCAGTGTTATGAGGCAGAGAATCTTCAGACATGGTGGGTGGAGTGTTTCCTCTTTTTCTTGGGCTCTTTGATGAAAAATGTCTTACCTGCACTGAATTTCCCATTTTCACCACAAATCGTAACAGCTTTCACTGAAGGATCTGCATCTGCTCTCTTCAGTCCATCCTCTAATGCCTGTAGAACTGTTAAGCTGAAATAAATTAGAGAGCGAGTAACAGTCAACTACATTACCTTTCCAAGAGGTCTGTGTTATAAAGGCCAAGCGTCCCAGTGAAAAGGAGCAGTACAGCCAAGCATATGTCTCCTCTAGCTTGTCTTCTGCCACAGCCTCTCCACGTGAGTCCTTTCATTAGTCTCCTTCTCACTTTAAGGGCAAGTGCCAAAATCCAACAAGCTTATGACTGCTGACCTGCCATTCACTTGCTGGAGAGTCTTCTTGTGGCTATGACATTACTGTTTCCAAAGCATAGGGAAATGTTCTTTTGAAAATGCCTTTATGAATTAAACATTTGGATTTTTAGGAAAACAGTTTAGCATAATTTAAAAGTAATTAATGCTAAACCACTGACAATCTAAGAACTTTTCAGAAAGGGAAATGAGCTCCAGGGATAAAAAGCTATCTTTTGAACACCTGACACAGACTTGGTGCTGTGCTGACAATTATGCTTTCACTTTGTGGAGATTTGTATTTAGGTCCAGACTTAAAACTTGTGTGGGGTCCTGTCAAGGTGAATTTGGGCCTAAAAACCTAAGTAGAATTTCTTTTTTTTTGTCTTATCTGAACATATTTCCACAGATACAAACAGTAAATGTGGCCAGCAAAGAATTAATGAGGAACTTCAAAACGGAACAGTAAAAGTATAAACAGTATTTTTACAAATCAGATATTTAAAAAAATCTGGCCTGACTGTATGCTCACTTGGCATTTGAAGCTTAGAAGCTAATTATATGTGTGTGTGTGTATGGATGGACGTGGAGAGTACCGTCTGTTTTAGAAGACAGTGACAATAAAGAAGATGGTAGGTAAAAATAGAAGCATTAACACCTAACACTTTATTAATAGAAGTATTAACACAAATTGTGTGTATAAGTAACTTAGATACTAAAATATATTCATATACACACACTTGTAAGCATGTAAGTGTATATATAGTTTGTGAGAGAGACTTTTCTGTGTGCATGTGTGTATACGTACTACATACGTAGATATGCCTCTGATTCAGAAAATCTGAGCCACAAGTGGTTGGAGGCTGGAGGAATACTCGAAGTATCATACAAGTTTGCCCAGTCCTTTATAAATACACCTTCTGTTCCTAGACCTTCTCCAAACTCTAAGCTCAGTTTTACACGTAAGCTTGGTGGCTGATGAAAAGAGAGCAGAGCTCTCTTGATGCCCAGTGGGGCAGAGCAGCGTGAACTAAAAGGAACTGATAGAAAGACCTGATGCATACTCAGTTTGTGCATGTTTTTCAATATATTTGAGGGCATTTCACTTAAAAAGGAAGTTTGTCATAAAGTAGATGAAAAATATATCACTGTACTCGTGTAATGCTTCTAGGTGTGTCCAGGGTGAGTGACCACACTATTTATGCAAGGCAGCAGCATGCAGCATTGAAGTGGAAATCCATAGACTGAAAAGGGAAACCTGGAGAGCCCAAGAAGTTTTCTGTAAGCCAGCTGTGTGAGGTCCTGCCAGCCAACCTCTGCATATTCTTCCTTCAAAATAAACAATTAAGAGAAGCTATTAGCAAAGTCTATTAATTGGGGCTGTTGGCTGAGCGGAGAGTTGGGGGGCTGCCTAGGGGGGTCACCAGGATCACCTGCCACCTGGATTAAGGCCATGCTACACAGAAGGATCAGTGGGAGTCCTGAGACCTGACAACCAGAGACTGACAGAAGTGTTATTTTTGGCAAGAGAACAGCTGGTTATGTACCAATTGCCTCATCCAGACATTAAAGACAACTCTGAAGTCTGACATTAAGTTTCAGCTTTCAGAACCATTACTAAAATGAGAATAATTTGGCCATGACAAAGAAAAATTATTAGGTGATTCTGCAAAGGTCCTTCCAAGTGCATATAGTTCCATGTAGCAGAATATGAAAGCCTTCCCAATTTTAATAAGTGGTTTCATATTCTGTGGGGAAAAATACATATTAAAAGTTTGTTTTTTATCTCACTCCCTTTGGAATATCAAGTGCTGTGGCTGCTGCTATTTGAGGAGGACCCACAGGCTGCACCCAGTGCTTGCTGCTCTTAGAGGTCTGTTTTTGCATCAGTGGAGAGCCAGGCCACAGAAATACCAAATTCACCTAGCGGCTGGAAGATTAAAGAGAAAACCATCATGAAATGTCATACTTTACAAACCATGGTGCAAAAAGGGGGAAAAAATATGTACCAAGATTCTGAGCAAATGTTAAATTGATTTGAAAATATTGTATATAAAAATGGCACAATTCTTTCAGGAACAGACAAGAAGCAATCAAAGCATTTATGTGTCTGTTGCAGGCACATGATCAGCAGATGCAAAATACTCATATAAAAGGTTTGTCTGCATTAAATGGAAAGGTTCAGGATTTTATATAGGAAATTAGTTACAAGCCCTTAGCACTAAAAACAACATACTCCTACCAGAAGAAAAATTAGTCATCAAGGCTGCCACAAAGTAACAGTTCAATACCTTCATGACCTGTAATAACCCAACAGAACTATTTTTGCCAGAGAATAACTTGACCGTGTACTTGCATAAATATTTCTTCTCCCTTCATACAACTTTTTCCTAGTGGGAATTTTGTTGTGGGACAAGAAGGAAGAAACATCGGACTCTTTGCAGTTTCTTGTTTTCCTAAGATGGAGCAATATGTTTGCCTCAGGATATGTTACAGTCCAACACACAGGCTGCATTGCTTTGTAACTCACATATTCTAACTGGTACTAAAAGATGTAATTTTCAACAAAAGCGTTGTAGTAAAATTTATGACAGTAAATCTATAGAAATACTCAAGAGTATCACAACTTCAAACAGAGCATTAAAGAAACAAAAAGTCACCATAATTTGCATAAGTATTTCATTACTGTGACAGTGTCATTCATTTAACAGTAACAATGCAAAAAGTCACTCCATGCATTCCAATCAATGTTTAATCCCATGCTATGTAGTCAGCTCCACCATGTATACTATTTTGACTGCAAGAAAAGTGATTCTGCCAAGATGAGTCAGTGTTACGGGTTTCAGAAACACCACAGGTGCTGTTAAAGAACATGTGTGCACCAGGGTAAGAGAATATTCTTGTAGGTGACCACACCAGGTTATTTTTATTTTGCATAAAACTCATTGTAGTGATGATGTGCTGCATTTCTAACAAGGTTTTATTATTTGCCTTAATAATTTCAGATTTTAGGTAGAGTTTGTGAATGTGAAAGTCTTTCATTTAAAAAAAAAAAAAAGGTAATTTAAGGGAATCCTGAAAATTTGCTTAGTCACCTTTAAAGTAGTGAGACTCGAATCCAACAGTAGAAAATGCTGTTTATGGAAAACATGCAGGTCTGGTCCTTTCCCCTTGCACTTCCCCCAGCATCCACAATCACTGCATTGGGGATGTTGCTATGTACATCTACACACATTCTTTTTAGCATCCCTTATACACCTGCTGTCTGTGAATTTGCCTAATCCCTTTCTGATTCTGCTGATCCATCTGCCTCCACAGGCTCCTGTGGCAGCAAGCTCTGTATTATCTTTTTTAAAACAATCTCCTACTAGTTTAATCAAATGTCCCTAGTTCAACCATTGCAGGATTTGGTAAAGGGTTATGCCTTTAATGTATTTACTTTCTTTATGATTTTCTAAACCTTGACCTTATTCTTCCACAGCCTTTTCCTCTCCAAACTCATGACACTCAGCTTTTTCAGTCTGCTTTCTTAACACAGTGCACCATCCCTTGGATTATTTTGGTTGTCCCTTTCTGGATCGACCCTATATCCTTCTGCAAATGCAAAATCCAGAACTAGACACAACAATTAAGATGTTTTATATTGCAGAAAAGGGATGCCCTCTGCTCAGTTCTCAACATACATCCTGATGGTACCCAATATTTTGTGGGCTTTTTGGGCTGCCCCAGCACATTGAGCTGATGATTTCACAGAACTATCAAAGGTAAAGATCCCTTCCCTGAGCTGTAACTGCAGTTTTGAGCTTGGCATCCTGTAAGCTTGTCCTGGGTTATATTTTTTATTTAAAGAACTTTTTGCTATTGTTTTTTAGCATGCCTTGATCCACTCTTTATATTTTTTTAGTCTTAATTTCCAGTTTACATCTCTCCTGTCATGTTTGATGATGTCATGAACATTTTCTTGTTCTCATTTGAGTAAGCTTTCCACTTCTTAAAAAAAAATTCAAACTTTTCCCTTAGTCGTCTTAGCTTTCTCATCAAGCCATGCAGGGCTTTTACTGGATCACTTGCTGGCTGAACAGTTTACCTGGGCTTCTAATAAACTTAAAACCCCAAAAATCCCAAACCCAAACAACAACAATCCAGACTCCACCCTTCTTGGAGGCTTCCTGTCTTTTGGATAGCTTCTTGCAGCGCTTTTGTTTGAACTAACTGCTGGGTATTTACATAATTCCCTTCTTGTACTCGGGTGCTGGATTTACCTGGTCTGCTCTCTCTTGCCTCAGTGTCAGATCCAGCCGTGCAGTAGTTGCTGTCACAGAGCAGCTAATACAGCTTGAACGGAGTCATGCACATAAATTAAGGCCAAATCCAGAATGGTGTCCTTTCTGTGGGGTTTTAGAATAGTTGTTTTAGGAAGCAGACACTTAACTGCATCCCAGAATTTTCTCTCTGCATCTCATCCTGATGAGGTGCTGATCCAGTCCAACACAGGTAATCACACTCTCCCATCGTTGCTACCTATCTGAAGTTGCAGCTTCTCTAACCTCCTTTACATTTTCTGATCATTATGCTGATTGGGGGTCAGAAGGACAATCCTAGCAGCCAGGGAGAGCCTTTTCCGATCGTGACTGTTACACGGTTATACTTTATGTAATCCCACATGTACACTCCCCTACCCCATGTCCTACCCTATCATCCCTGGAGCTTTTCTGCACTTGTCGGCTCAAATGTTGAAATACTCTTCCACACCCTTCTTAATTTTCAGTGCCAGCAGGCTGCCTCTGCTAGTAAGGTGTGGCTGGTCCTTTCTCTTGCAAGTCTCGTCTGTCTGTTCCCCCAAACTTCCCAGTTTTTTGCATATCTAAATCCCTTCTCTCTATGCCATGGCCTCATAAATGCAGATCTCTGAATGCTAAACTTCTGCAACCCAGGAAAAAAAAACCCCAAACAAATCAAATTTGGCACATGCCACCTCTGCTGGTGGAGGGAAAGATTAACTTGAAGGGGAGTCTGTGTGTGGGAGCCAAATTTGCTGCCAGACTTACAAGTCAGCATACGTTCCTCAGGAAAGTGCTGCCCAGGAGGTACTTGCACAGCAGTGCATGGTGTCAGACAGGAGAAAGCAAATTCCTACTCACCAGTGGCTTCTAAAGTGCTAATGGCCAGGGCGATGGCCTGGGAGCTGGGATAACAGCACCGAGTGACACATATAATGGGGAGAGAGGGGTGAGGCTGGAGCAGAGCAGGAAAAAATCCACCAGCCTTTTAAAAAGCATCTGTGCCTGCTGTGAAATTAAATTTTCAGGATCGCAGGAGATGGCTCCTGTCTGTAATTTTCACTGCCTGCTATCACCTACGTAGTCAAACATTTCCAACAGCAATCACAAACCTGCTCCCCTATGGTACAGTACATAAAATATGCAGAAGCAGAAGGAATGCACAAGGATCAGAGTGTGCTCTACCTTTCCTAGCTATAGCCAGGTCTCAGCTAAAAAATACCCGATGGCAAGTATGAGCTAATTATTGATCCCTACTAAAACAGGTATTACCCTGACATGTGATCAAAGCCCCCAGGCATGTCTCAAGCTGAAGCTTCACAGAAGCTTAACATTTAAATCCATGCTGTGCAGGTTCCCATCCTTCCCCACGTACTCCTACTCTGTCCCTTGTGCCAGCAGTGCTCCTCGTGCAATTGCACAAGGTGCTGATGCAGAGAGCTAGGCTGGCTGAAAAACAAACCCAAACCAACTTGCTGGTGTTCAGTCACATTTGCATCCTGAGCTGGCTCGCTGCCAGTCACAGGAGCACCAACGCTAGCAGAGCAGAGGCTGTGAGGAACCATGGCCAGGATCACAGCAGTCCCATCGTAGGTTGTGCTATGGAGCTCGTCACGAGGGAATGAGCCTACATGGGTGAAGTAAGTACTCGGGTCTCTCAGGGGCCTTCGTGCTGCGGGGCTGTCAGCAGATAAAAGAGTGTGGGCAGCACAATACAGGTGTGGGGGGAGTGAAGATAGAGCACTCAATGGAAACTGCCTTTTTAATGGATCTAAAGTGTTCTGCCCGGGTCTTCCTTCTCCCTCTTCGGGCTGGGTCTTCCTTCTCCCTCTTCGGGCTGGGGAACAGGACCACAACCACACCATCCGTTACCCTTGGCTGACAGCATCAGAACTGCACCTTGAGAGGGCACTGAGGGGTGAAGAGTAAAGGGTAGTAGAGGCAGGGGTCTGTCCTGAAAAGGCTGTTGTGTAGGTGCATGCAGTTGCTGTTCGAAGGCAACTTAGGGTTTTATCAAGGACTTCTCAAAAGAGACAGAGTTAAGGTTCCTTAAGCACGTATCTTTAGCTCTGTATTTTGTACTTTTCATGGTAAGGATGGAAGGTTTACTGTGGGCACAGCCTGGAAGTTTTCTTAGGCTGGTCTTGGGGACAGGAGGTCCAAGGGATGTCTTGCACCCCGCAGTTCTGGGAGTCCTACATGTCTAGTTCATCTAATCTCATCAAGTGACTCTGAGTTTGTTTTCTCATGATAATTATCTGGGCACGTGAAAATGATCTTACTCCACTTTTAAACATGTTGCAATGAAAGAGTGAGCACTGGCAGTTACTGCAGAGCAATGTAGCTTGTCACAGAAGAGCAGCAGGTTGTATTTCCTACTCATGCTCTTACTTGTCTCTTTCAGCTTCTTTTTAACAAACTTTCTGGTTTAGCAGTTGAGCATAACTGCAGTGGATTTTTTTTGCTTGTTAATATATACTGAATAGACACTATGGTCACTGTTACAGAACAGCTCTTCAACTACAGCTGCTTAAAAAGGGCCTATGCAGTACTCAGAACTAAATGAACTAAAATACACACCTTATAACAAATTATGTAAAGCCAAAAAGCACGTACATCCTTTTCAAAACACTTGAAAAACTAGAATTTCAGGGGCTTCTACAGATTGGTGTTTGACTTTGTTTTTCACTGGCTTGTGTTTGAGATCGCCTGGGGCCTTTCTTGACAAAGATCAGTATTTAGAGGTCAATTCCTTACTCATTTTTAAAAGGCAAATGAACTGCCTTCGCTTCTGATAGCCCTGGCTGTGGTTTAATCCCTGTGCCAGCTCCTCTTGTTGAACCACTTCTGCTATTTACAAAGCCCTTTGCCCTAACCCCTGCGCTCACTTGGATAGCGCAGGGACTTGCACCCCTGTGGAGTGCGTGGGGCAGGCAACTAACATGCATGCCCTGTGGAGTGCGTGGGGCAGGCAACTAAACCAGTAGCAAATCTGAGAGGAAAAGCTGGTTTTCACCTATGAGCTCTGAATAAACTCCAGGGTGAAACAGCTGAACTGCTAAGGTCGCCGTGCAATTTCTTGCTGGAAGCATCATCTTGATGCTTAAAGACTGGAAGGTGATGAGAAATACATGAAGTTTTTAAACGGCTTCCAGGGGAGATGACAGCAAGTACAGATTGGTGAGCCTGACACCTCTCCTGCAAAAAAAACCCACTAGAAATTATAATAAAGAGCAGAAGTCATGTAAGAAATGAGCCTGTTTTTTGCAAAGGCTGGTGCAGGTACCCAAGCAGCGTTTGGAGAGGTCCTTCGGCAGAGGCTCTTTTACCGGGCAGCCTGCCCTGGGACCAGGAGGTACCTCACACGGGCAAGGGGGGGAAAATGAGGTGAAAAGGAAGGAAATCAGAGAATCCCCCAT